GTTATCTTATTCAAACTTGGGCAATGTATGATGGAAAGATACATCTTAACGTGCACCAAAAATGAAAGAAATCAGACCATAAATAGCGGAGTTCACTTCTCAGCCATTAGCGGCCGATTAGAGGTATATTTTTGTATGGTTTTTATGGTTATATTCTCATTTTTTCAGTCTCATTTGATAGAATGAAAGATATATTACAGAAATAGATATGATTTTGATTGCTTTCATGATGAAAAGCACCTTGAAATTGCGCTCACAGTAGCGAAAATGTTCTAATCTTTAGCGAAGCTCAAGAGTAAACAAATGACGTCACCGTCCAATATCTGTCCGCCTGCCAGTCCAAATTCCAATACGTAGTCAAGAATGAGTTGACATTATTTATACAATTATTACAATAATGCAGCAGTCTGCATAACAGTAAATCTTCTATTTTTTTGTGAATAAAAATTCCAAATGAAAAGCAAGAGTAATATAAGAGGGGCCTGTAGCCATGACTAATGAACAGAGAAAATGTTATTTTAGTGCCAGGAATGTCTGCATTGTTTATTCTGGACCCTATTTTGAAATTGGCATCTGTTGAAATTTGTGTAAAATCGGCCAAATTGCCAATTTCTGACCACTTTATTGGGTAGTTGAAATAAGTGAATGGGCAGTTTCTTGTACTCAGTTGACAGACTAGAAGTAAATAAGTTTATTCAGGTATACACAAATACAGTTACATAGATTATCATACATAGCAGTGTATGTATAGAGAACCTAGGATAACCCAAAAAAGTCAGACAAAGTGACTTATTTCCAGTACCTGGCTTGGGCTTGCCATATATGATTTTTGGTAAATATTATTTTTTTCTCGGTTGTTTGTTGGGCTATCTCATTGAAACTTGGGCAATGCATGATGGAAAGATGCTCTTAACGTACAACAAAAATAAAAAAGACGGACGATAAATAAGGTAGTTCACTTTTCAGCCATTAGCCGCCTCTTTGCAGTATATTTTCGTATGGTTTTTATGGCTGTATTCTCATTTTTTTGGACTCATTTGATAGAATGGAAGATATATTACAGAAATAGACATGATTTTGATTGCTTTCATGACGAAAAGTACCTTGAAATTGAGCTCTAAGTAGCGGAAATGTTCGATTTTTGCCGATGTTCAATGAACTGTGCAAGTCAAGTTGGTTAATTTTATTAAGTGTATTCTAACCTAACTACTCTGTAATCCGGCAAACTCAGTAATCCGATACACTACAGGTCCCAATGATGCCGGATTTGTGATGGAGGACCTGTACTAAATAAAACAATGTATAAAATTATACAGCACACACGAACTATAAAAATGAAAATTTAACAGAAATACTGTACAGTAAATGAAAATCTAACTGCCTCTTACCTGTCAGAGGAGAGCTAATGGCAAAATTCTAGCGGCTTCAAATCTTGCGGGAGAAAGCTGGTAGGCCTACATGCGAGAGAATGGGTCTGCATGGTCAATGTGTGCAGTATAAAAAGATCCTCCAGCATGCAGTGAATAATAAGAAAAAAATGCAAGCGTGTTTTTGGTTTAAGACAGCAACTTTGCAGTGTATTTTCATAGAGTATTTATGGTTGCATTTTCATTTTCTTGGTCTCATTTGATAAATGGAAGATATATTACAAAAATAAGAGATGATTTTTCAATGGTTTTAAGACTAAAAGCTTGAAATTAAGCTCAAGGTAGCAGAAATGTTCAATTTTTGCCAATGTTCAAGAGTAAACAAATCATGCCTCACATCCAATACATGTCAATTGGTGGGTCTAATATACATTCACAAATGTACTGATATTATTTATACAATTACAGTGTATTACAATTTACAATTTACTGAATAACAGTAAATCTTCTATTTTTTGTGTGAATAAAAATTCAAAGTGAAAAGCAAGCGTAATGTAAGAGGGGGCCTGGAGACGTGACTAATGAAGAGATAAAATGTTATTTTAGTGCCAGGAATGTCTGCATTGTTTATGCTACAGCCAATTTTGAAATTGGCCTTTCTTCAATTTTGTGTGAAATTGGACAAATTAGTAATTTCAGATCACTTTATTGGAAAGCTGAAATAGGTAAATGGGCAGTTTCTTGTACTCAGTCGATAGAATAAAAGGAATTCTAGTGAAATAGCTACGAGTTTTTTACTGGAACAATGGAATTGGCCCAAAATAAGGCCCAAAGTGGGTGAAATCACAGATGCGTAAATATCGCCAGGATGGCTAACTTTGTGACAGCATATTTCCATAAGTTTTTCATCAAATTTTGTACTTTTGGTTTCATTACCTTCATATTATTATTATAATCAAAAAGAAGCGCTAAGCCACAAGGACTATACAGCGATTACCTTCATAAGATGCACAGCAAGAGCTCAAGAGATGTTTACAGCACGCATGTTAGTCATTATACTGACTGAGACCTACGCTGTGGACTCTGTCTGATGATCACATGACCTGAGTGTTGTTGGTTGACAACTAAGACCATGTACGAAAACCAAATCTAACAAATCGGTTCAAAAACCAATTTGTTCGACAACTAGTGTGTTCAACAACCGAGGTTCCACTGTACATCAGTGTTTTTCTTGACACTTCTTAAAAAAGAACCCTTCCAGGGTCCCAACCCCCAATCTGAAACTTTTCCACAGGATCCAAGAATTTAAAAAAAAAAAAAAAATTATTTTTTCTTATGAAATGGTAGAGAATCTTTTTCTGAAGGTAATAAAAACAAAAAGTATGAAATTTGATGGAAAACTGACAAAATTATGCTATCGCAAATTTTGCTGTGTCAGCGATATTTATGCGGAGATTTTGCCCACTTTGACTCCTATTTTAGGCCAATTACATTGTTGTAGTTGACAAATTCTTAGGTATTTCACCAGTATGCCTTCCATTTTATTGACCGAGCACAAGAATCTTCCTAATCAAGTATTTCAAGTACCTAATAAAGTGATCAGAAATTGGTAATTTGGCCAATTTAACACAAATTTCAAAATATTCCAGTTTCAAAATAGGGTCCAGAATAAATCATGCAGGCATTCCTGGCACTAAAATAACATTTCCTCTGTTTATTAGTTACATTCCCAGGCTTTACATAAGTATTCTTTTTTATTTTTTATTCACACAAAGAATTTTTATTCACACAAAATATACAAGATTTATTGTTATGCAATACTGTAATAATTGTGTAGATAATATCAGTGCATTTGCAAACGTATATCAGACCCACCAGTTGATGTGTATAGGACGTGTATGTGATTTGTTTACTCTTGAACATCATCAAAAATCATTTATGCTACTTTGAGCTCAATTTCCAGCTATTTTGAGTCCTCAAAACCATGAAAATCATCTTTATTTCTGTAATATATCTTCCATTCTATCAAATGAAACCAAGAATACATCCATAAAGACCATACGAAGATAAACCCAAAGTTGCTGTTTTAAATAAAAACACGGTCCCAGTTATTTCTTCATTATGCACTCTGTGCTGCAAGATTTATTTTATATGGTGCACACTTAATGCATCGACCCATTCCATCATATTTAGTCCCAAATTCACTGCTCACAGCTTATCTGAGTGAGATGAGCTCATCACGTAGTACTACGGCATGGACCCTGGCTTCAAAGTCATAAAACTACAACACAGACCCTGAAAGGGTTAATAATAATAATATTGGGGCTTATTATCATTGGGATTCTTCAGTCTTCTTCTCAAGAATATTTTCAGGAGTGACATGATGCCAGTGAAGGGGTCTTAACCTAAGGAACTGAACCTATGCCTTTCCTTGGACTAAACTTGATTTCCCATCATTCCCTTAGGTGATGCATGACCCCAACTGGTTTAAAGCTACCCCCATAAATGTGATACTTCTGAAGAATGCAACCCACAACAACTGGCAAACTACTTGGTAAACAGAAGCAGAAGGGGTAAAATTAACCTTTAAATGAGTCTTGCAGATGTAAGGTAAAAACTCTTTGTCCATAGGTAGAAATCCAGGCAGAGAAAAGAACAACAGAGATGGCATCTACAACATGAAGATGCCATTGAGCCTCAATGTAGAGCCTGCAAAAATTCCTGGAAAACAGGCCAGCAAAGCTCAAAAAGGGAAGAAACAAGCAATGATCCTTACAGCTAACGAGGGAAAACAAAACAAAGGAGAGCTCAGGAAAGTCCAGTGATGCAGTATTGATAGGGAACAGATTGTTAAGTCCCTGAAGCAAAAGAATGTGGGCCTTTAACCTCACAAGATGTCTACTACATTATGGTGCTGACACTCCTTTGCCATGTACACAAGGCTTTATTCTGCATTATTTAAACCAAACAAATACTGGCTCTTCACTTCTATCATCATTCTGTATTTAGTTCATGCCCACTTCGATTTGTCCCACTTGATAGCTGCCTCCTCCATTATGGATGCTGGTGGTATGATTCAAGAATAAGGGCTCCCCATTGCCCCTTAACAGAAAATTATTTTGAAGTATTCAACAAAGCATTTGTAGGAACTATAGGAACTCAGTCTTCTGCTTCCTACCCAAGGTGACTTGTATCTAGAATACAATCGGTTACACATGGCTTGTGTAGGTACCAGCTGATGCTTGCGCAACCCACATTTGACTAGTTCACCACCACTCAGTCATTTATTAGAGTTTAAGTAGGCATCATTGGTCTACTGATGTGAGAAATAGGTAGTGATAGTTGTATCATATTCTCAAATGGACCCCTATGTCCCCTTAACAGAAACAGAATTACACTACTGCAATTTGATAACAATGAAGTCATATTTACATGGCATAATAATATTTTAAGTAATGAAGCTATTGCTACAATGCAATATTAGATACAATATTAAATATACATAAGGCATTCTGGAATAATTTACTCGCTGTACTAAAGTTGTCAAGTGACCTCCCAAAGAATTAATAATACAATTGGTCATGGTACTTATTGGTACTGGACAACTAGGTTCATGTGGTATTAATTCCTTACCTTTGTCCACTCTTCCTGTGTCTTTTCTTTAAATTTATCCGTAATGATCTTCTTCATGGCACTAAAATCATCAAACTGTCCAACTTCCTCAATGTTAAGACCAAGAAGTGAAATCAACTGCTCATAAAACTGAGGCTCAATGGCTCCAACAGCCATATAACGACCATCACTGGTCTCATAAGTATCGTAGAAATGAGAACCAGAATCTAACCTGAAATATTAAAATAAACGTTCATTGAAACAACTTAAAAGTTTTATTTATTTTTTTTAACATGTCAGCCATTTCCCACTAAGGCACAGTGACCCAAAAAGAAAGAAAAGCCCAAAAAGGAAGAAAAAGCTTCCATCATTATTCAACACTTTCACCATCACTCATACATAATTAGTCTTTGCAGAGGCATTCAGATATGACAGTTTAGATGTCCCTCCAAACTGCCAATATCCCAAATCCCTCCTTTGAAGTGCAGGCATTGTACTTCCCATTTCCAGGACTCGAGTCCGGCTAACTGGTTTCCCTGAATCCCTTCACAAAATATTACCCTGCTCACACTCTAACAGCATGTCAGGTCCCCAAAACTATTCGTCTCCATTCAATCCTATCTAACACACTCATGCACACTTGCTGGAAGTCCAAGCCCCTCGCCCACAAAACCTCCTTTACCCCTCCCTCCCTCCAACCTTTTCAAGGACGACCCATACCCCGCCTTCCTTCCTTTACAGATATATGTGCTTTCCAAGTCATTCTACTTTGTTCCATTCTCTCTAAATGACCAAACCACCTCAACATCCCCTCTTCAGCCCTCTGACTAATACTTTTAGTAACTCCACTCCTCCTAATTTCCACACTACAAATTCTCTGCATAATATTTACACCACACCCTTAGACACCACATCTCCATTGCCTCCAGCCTCTTCCTCGCTGCAGCATTTACAACCCACTATATTCTCGTACATTGCCTTCTTTGCCTCCATAGCTAACATTTTTTTGTCTCCACAGATACCTCAACACACCACTCACCTTTATTCCTTCAATTCTATGGTTAACCTCAGCTCCCAAATCTTTGAAAGCATTCACTTTTTTCATACTCCCTCCTCCAATGTGATATCCAATTTTTCTCTATCTAAATCGTTTGATACCCTCATCACCTTACTCTCGTCTATGTTCACATTCAACTTCCTACCTTTATACACCCTCCTAAACTCGTCCACTAACCTTTGCAACTTTTCTTTAGAATCTCCCAAAAGCACAGTATCATTAGCAAAAAGTAACTGTCAACTCCCATTTTGTATTTGATTCCCCATAATTTAATCCCACCCCTCTCCCCAACACTAGCATTTACTTCTTTTACAACCCCATCTACAAATATGCACATATATTTTTTTTCGACACTGGCTGTCTCCCACCGAGGCAAGATGACCTGAAAAATAAACACTTTTCACCATCATTCACTCCATCACTGCCAATACTACCACTGCCAATACTACATTTCAGATACCCCTCCAAACAGCAAATATCCCCACCCTTCCTTCAGAGTGCAGGCAATGTACTTCCCACCTCCAGGACTCAAGTCTGGCTAGCTGGTTTACTTGAATTCCTTCACAAAATGTTACCTTGCTTACACTTCAACAGCTCATCAAGTCCCAAAAACCATTTGCCTCCACTCTTATCTGACACACTACACACTCCTACTGGATATCCGAGCCCCTCTCCCTCCAACCTTCCTAGGGCTATCCCTACCTTGCCTTCCTTCCACTACAGATTTATACATCCTCAAAGTCAAACTATTTTGCTCCATCCTCTCTAAATGTCCACAGCGCCTCCACAACCCATCATCAGCCCTCTGGATAATACTTTTAGTAACTATGCACTTTCTCCAAATCTCCAAGATATAAATTTTTTGCTTAATATTTACACCATACACTGCTCTCAGACACATCTCCATTGCCTCCAGCCTCCTCCTCACTGCAACATTCACAACTCGTGTTTCTCATCCATATAAGAGCATTGGTACCCCTATACATACTCTCACATATTTCCCTCTTGTCTCTATGGATAATGTTCTTTGTCTCCAAAGATGCCTCAATGCACCATGCATGTTTTTCAATTCATCATTTCTATGGTTCACCTTGTCTTTCATATACCCATCCACCTACAAGTCCACTCCCAAACACCTGAACACATTCACTTCCTCCATACTCCCCTCTTCCAATCTAATATCCAATCTTTCATTACCTAACTCATTTGTTACCCTTATCACCTTGCTCTTTCCTATGTTTACTTTCAATTTCCTTCCTTCCTTTATATACTCTCCCAAATTTATCCACCAAGCTTTGCAACTTCTTTTCGGAATCTCCCAAAAGCACAGTGTCATCAGCAAAAGCCAACTGTGACAACTCCCATTTTGTGTTAGATTCCACATACAGTGGAACCCCAGTTCATGATATTAATCCGTTCCTGAGAGTTCATTGTAAACCAAAATTATTGGAAAGCGAATCAATTTTCCCCATAAGAAATAATGGAAATCAAATTAATCCGTGCAAGACACCCAGAAGTATGAAAAAAAAACTTTTACCACATGAAATATTAAGTTTAATGCAATATAATACAGGTCTCCCTCAACATTCGCGAGGGTTAGGGGATCAAGAGCCTCGCGAATGTTGAAAAATCGCGAATGTTTGGTGCCCCAACATATTGTAGGGAAATATAATACAATACTGCTTCCTTAACTTGTTGAACCATGAACAATCATAAAATACATGAAAATGTTGTAAATTGTATTAAATATATACATGTTATGCTTTAATAACATGTATGTTATTAAATGTACGAATGGTATATAATACCGACAAGATGAGAGTAAGACACATGTGCAACATCTGGGTATCTTTATTGATAAAGCCACTGGATGGCGAAACGTCTACAATAAAGATACCCAGATGTTGCACATGTGTCTTACTCTCATGTTATTAAATACCACAGACTCCACCACTGCCTCCACCAATGCCTCCACCACTTCCTCAACCACTGAGAGTCCCTACTACCCTCCCTCTGACCCCTGCAACTGGCAGCCAGCCCTCCCACCACTCAGTGTGGTGAGTGTTTTGTTTGTTCATTATTTGCTATTAAACTACAGTATAAATAATGTAAACCCATTCATGACTGCATATTGGAATGGCTCTTTGGACAGGTATTGGACGGTGACATCATGTGTTTACTCTTGAGCACAGCAAAGAGTCAAACATTTTTGCTACTGCTAATAATAACAATAGTAATAATAATAATAATAATAAATACAATATAACTGAAGAAGGAAATTGTACAAAAATACGAGGGAGTGGTTGACACATCGTCAGTGTGGCTTTGTTTATGCTGGAATGAACATTAGTCTCCCTGCTCTTCCAAACATTTCACAATAATTCAGCGGTTGAGGCAGTGGTATTTAATAACATATATGTTATAAATAATAATAGTACATGTTATTATTAATAACATGTATTATTATTATTAATAACATGTATGTTATTAAATACCACTGCCTCAACTGCTGCCTCAACAGCTGCCTCAACCACTGCCTCAACAGCTGCCTCAATTGCTGCCTCAATCGCTGCCTCAATCACTGCCTCAATCGCTGCCTCAACCACTGCCTCAATCGCTGCCTCAATCACTGCCTCAACAACTGCCTCAATCGCTGCCTCAATCGCTGCCTCAACAGCTGCCTCAACCACTGCCTCAATCGCTGCCTCAACCACTGCCTCAATCGCTGCCTCAACCACTGCCTCAATCGCTCCCTCAACAAATGCCTCAACCACTGCCTCAACCGCTGCCTCAACCACTGCCTCAATTGCTGCCTCAACCACTGCCTCAATCACTAACTCATTCGCTGCCTCAACAGCTGCCTCACCCACTGCCTCAATCACTGCCTCAACCACTGCCTCAACCACTGCCTCTACCACTCCAGTCGCACTCAATCTACAAGCACCAAACACAATGAATTATTGTGAAATGTTTGGAAGAGCAGGGAGACTAATGTTCACTCCAGCATAAACAAAGCCACACTGACGATGTGTCAACCACTCCCTCGTATTTTTGTACAATTTCCTTCTTCAATTATATCGTATTTATTATTATTATTATTATTATTAGCAATAGCAGAAAAGTTTGATTCTTTGCTGTGTTCAAGAGTAAACACATGATGTCACCGTCTAATACCTGTCCGAATAGCCATTCCAATGTGCAGTCATGAATGGGTTTACATTATTTATACTGTAGTTTAATAGCAAATAATGAACAAACAAAACACTCACCACACTGAGTGGTGGGAGGGCTGGCTGCCAGTTGCGGGGGTCGGAAGGAGGGTAGTAGGGACTCGCAGGTGGCGGGAAACTTAAATATGATTTGGCGGCTGGGAATATGGCGGTTGGAAATTCGCGAATGTGTGAAGCCCGCGAATGTTGAAAATGCGAATGTTGAGAGAGACCTGTAATTACAATAAAAACAGAATAATAACAATAGAATAATTGACACTTACCTTTAATGAAGATCTGGTGATGATTGATGGGATGGGAGGAGGGGAGAGTGTTGAACCTATTGTTTAGAAGGGGAATCCCCCTCCATTAGGACTTGAGGTAGCAAGTCCTTTTCCATGGTTACTTCCCTTCTTTTAATGCCACTAGGACCAGCTTGAGAGTCACTGGACTTCTGTCGCACAACATATCTGTCCATAGAGGCCTGTACCTCTCGTTCCTTTATGACTTTCCTAAAGTGGTTCAAACCAACCTTTGCTGGCCTTAAATTCACTCACATCAGCAGTAGTTGCAGGCAATTTCTTTACCAAATTTTTTTTGTCATGCAACTGCCTAGCCTTTTCACAAATGATCGCTTGAGAGATGCTATCTCCTGCTATCTGTTTTTCATTTATCCACACCAATAACAGTCTCTCAACATTTTCTAACACTTGCAGTCGCTGTTTCGTAATCACAGTTGCACCTTTTGCAAGAACAGCTTCCTTGATTGCCGTTTTCCTGCTCACTATAGTAGAGATGGTTGACTGGGGTTTACTATACAACTTGGCCAGCTCAGCCACACGCACTCCACTTTCGTACTTTGCAATTATCTCTTTCTTCATTTCTCTTTCTTCATTTCAATAGTCATTAGCACCCTTGGTCTCAAAGGGTTGGCACTAGAAGCTTTCTTGGGGCCCATGGTGACTTATTTTGCAGAAACAAGCACCAAAAATAGTGATAATATGGAATGTACCGAATGTATCCTTAGATGCGCGCACACTGGCTGGCTTGTAAACACTGGCACACACGGGGCAGTTCAGGCCACACGTGGACACGTCTCGTACGAATCGCATCGCATACCGGGTTTTGTAATGGGAACCAAGGCAAATTTTCTGCGATATAATGCATCAGTTACCGGATTTATCGGATACCGATGGCATCACGAACCGGGGGTCCACTGTATTTTAATTTCACACTTTTCCCCAACACCCAAGCATTTACTTCCTTTACTACCCCATCTATAAATATGTTAACCCTTTCAGGGTCGACAGGCCCTCTCCCAGACTTGTTCTCAGGGTCGACAAATTTAAATATTTTTTCTTATGAAAAGATAGAGAATCTTTTCCCGATCATAATGACACCAAAAGTATGAAATTTGATGGAAAACTTACGGAATTATGCTCTCGCGAAGTTAGCGGTCTTGACGATGTTTACGCATCGGCGATTTTGCCCACTTTGAGCCCTATTTTCGGCCAATTCCAGTGTACTAGTCGACAAAAATCATAACTATTTCGCTAGAACTCCATTTTTTCTATCGAATGAGTACAAGAAACCACCCATTTACCGATTTCAACTCTCCAATAAAGTGGTCAGAATTTAGCAATTTTGCCAATTTCACACAAATTTCAAAAGATGCCAATTTCCAAATAGGGTCCAGAATAAACAAGAAAGACATCCTGGCACTAAAATAACATTTCCTCTGTTCATTAGTCACGTCCCCACACCCCTCTTACATTCTTTTGCTTTTCACTTTGAATTTTTACTCTCACAAAAAATAGAAGATTTACTGTTATGCAGACTACTGCATTAGTGTAGAAATAGTATAAATAATATCAGAGCACTTGTGAAAGAACATTAGACTCGCCAGTTGACGTGTATTGGATGTGTAGCATGATTTGTTTACGTTTGAACTTTGGCAAAAATCGAAGATTTCTGCTACTTTGAGCTCAATTTCAAGATACTTTTCATTGTAAAACCAATTAAAATCGTCTCAATTTTTGTAATATGCCTTCCATTCTATAAAATGAGACCAGGAAAACTAGAATACGTACCATCATAAATACCATACGAAAATACAGTGCAAAGTTGCTATTTTAAACCAAAAACACTGTCAGTTTTTTTTTTCTCATTACGCACTGTGTGCTGCAGGATTTTTTATACTGTGAACACTGACCACATAGACCCATTCTTTCATATGTAGGCCTACCAGCTTTCTCTCACTAGATTTGAGGGCACTAGAATTTAGGCGTACTAGTACGTCTACTTCAACGACCTTCTTCATCTCATCCCAGAATCCCATGCATATGCAGACGACTGTACACTGACATTCACTTATCCAAGAGAAGAAATACCAGCTGCTTTAAGCTACATCAATCACCAGCTAAGAGCTATATCAGCTTGGGGAAATAGATGGCAAGTTACATCTGCACCTGAGAAAATGCAAATGATGATGGTCTCTAGGCACCATGATGGTAATGCTGGTGCAGTAGTAAGGATGAATGGGAGAGTGTTGGCACCTGGAGAAGAAGTTGATATCCTTGGGGTGAAATTTGACTCCAAACTAACCATGAAGAACCATGTTGTAAATCTTGCAAACAAGGCAGCCAGGAAGCTTACAGCACTTCGCCGTATCTCGCATCTGCTTGACAGTAGGGGTTGCAAGATTCTGTACGAGGAACAAGTACGCTCACACCTTGAGTATGCTCCACTTTCTTTGTTTACCTGCCCCCCCTCTCATCTGCGACTGCTTGACAGAATAGAGAACAGAGCAAGACATCTCATCTCTCGCCTGGACCCATCCTGGATAGATCTGTCATTTCAGCAGAGCCTTCAACACAGGAGGGATGTGGGTGGCCTTACTGTTATGTACAAGGCCAATATTGTCAAAGTACCACACTTGGATCCACTTCGAGGACAGCATGAAACAAGCTTTTATGCCACAAGATGGGCAGAAAGCAGCAAATTTACTCTGGCTGTACCCTTCTCCAGAACATCACTCCATCTGAGATCATATATACCCAGGATGACTCGAGTATGGAACACATTCGTACAGCATAATGATGTCAACGAGATAAAGTCAGTTGATCGAATGAAAATGCTGGCCCACAGATGGCTCCAACTTCATCCTGTTCGCTACTTGTATGTCTCATAACAATAAAAATGCTTTCAAATGAGCTGATGTAGGTAACAGCTCATAGCTTGTCAATAAAGCTAGGGATCCTTAACCTAACCTTGTCAAACCCTGTGTGAAAAAAAAGAAAAAAAAAAAAAACCTGGTGGGTAAGCCGTACTAGTATGTCAGAAACCCTGAAAGGGTTAAACAACCATGGTGACATCACACATCCCAGTCTAAGACCTCCTTTTACTAGAAAATAATCTCCCTCCTACATACTCTAACCTGAGCCTCACTATCCTCATAAAAACTCTTAACAGCATTCAGTAACCTACCACATATTCCATACACTTGCAACATCTGCCACATCACTCCTCTACCCATCCTATCATATGCCTTTGCTAAATCCATAACAACAACAAAAATTTCCTTACCTTTATCTAAATATTGTTCGCTTATATGCTTCAATGTGCACATGTGGTCTACACATCCTCCTATCCTTTCTAAAGTATCCTTGCTCATCTGTGATCCTGCTCTCAGTCTTACCCTCAATTTTTTCAATAATATACTTTATCTGGTATACTCAACAGGCTTATTCCCATATAATTTTTATACTCTCTTCTATCAACCCTTTAAGAACATAAAAACATAAGAAAGAAGGAACACTGCAACAGGTCTACTGACCCATGCGGAGCAGGTCCATGTTCCCTTTCCCCCCCGGATTAGCCCAAAGACCCACCCCCACAGATTAGCCCAATGACCCACCCCCCCAGATTAGCCCAATGACCCACCCAGTCTGGCCACCTCCACTCAAGGAAGGAGCACGGCACCAGACCCAGCCGCACAAGCTAGTCAGGTCCAACTCACACCCACCCACACCCACTCATGTATTTATCTAACCTATATTTAAAGCTACACAACGTTGTAGCCTGAATAACTGTACTCGGGAGTTTGTTCCACTCATCCACAACTCTATTACCAAACCAGTGCTTTCCTATATCCTTACTGAATCTGAATTTTTCCAACTTGAAACCATTGCTGCGAGTCCTGTCTTGGCTGGAAATTTTCAGCACGCTATTTACATCCCCTTTATTTACTCCTGTTTTCCATTTATACACCTTGATCATATCCCTCCTAATTCTACGCCTTTCGAGAGAGTGCAGATTCAGGGCCCTCAGTCTATCCTCATAGGGAAGATTTCTGATACATGGGATCATCTTTGTCATCCTCCTCTGTACGTTTTCCAGAGCATTTATATCCTTTATACAAAGGAACAAACTGTGAATGCACTCTTGCCAATCCCTAGGTATCTTCCCCTCTTTCATGCACAAACCACTACAAAGCTATATCTCCACCTGCTTTTAACATGTCTGTCTTGATCTAATTAATCCAAGCTGTTGTACCCCCTTTCATTTTACCCACTGTCTCATGCACCTCCACCATTCTCACATCTGGCTCTTCCTCCCGAAGAATGCTATACCTCCTTGGCCAATGCATGAAGTCACTGCCTCCCTTTCTTCAACAATATTTAACAGTTCTTCAAAATATTCCTGCCATCTTCCCAATACCTCTAATTTCCCATCTAATAACCCCTTCTTCTGTCTTTAACTGTCAAATCCATTCATTTCCTAGGCTTTCTCAACCTATTAATCTCATGCCACACTTTTTTTTTTCTCAGCAATTTCCTGGAAAACATGTATTGGCAAGTCTAACCTCCTACTGACACACACATCCTTGTACAATACCATAAAGCTACAAATCAAAGTGAGGGGTTCAAACCCATGGCAAGCCAGTTATAAAACTAGGTCACTGCACTGTACTATCCATTGTAGCATGCCAGCATAATAAGACTTGCCCAACTAGGTCAGCATGGTACAGTGGATTGTACATGACCTGCTAGTTTTAGGACTGTGTTGCTATGGTTCGAACCCTCTGTTTGACACATTGTTTACTATATAAACTTCCTTAATAACACCCATCTCACTCACATGAGCTCCCATATTAACCTCCTAATTTGCTCTCATCTATGTAAATGCTCAGCACTAATTTCATCTATTATCCATTTCCTCTGTGCATATATTCATTTTACATATATAACTGGGTCTACAGTTCTTAACACAATCTTGTGCAATCTCCATACATATATTTCAATCAACTTTAAATGTACAAGTCAATCTGTTTTATTTAAAAGGAAAAAAAAAGGCAACATTTGAAGACATAATAATGCAATACTGTAGTGAAGGCTGAAGAAAGAGATATTAACACTCACAAATTACAGCCACGGGATTTGCCCCATATCTGAAGATCACGAGAGGCGTACAACCATGTCCCAGTGTATGCTGCCCCTTCTACCATGTTGGCATCAATGACCTGGCCCTGCCCTGCAGTAGACAATATACTAGTAGCAATTTAGATAATGTTGCAATTTTTTTTATCTTGTAGCTGCATGTAGCTCTTTTAGGTTATATCCATGTGAAAGTTGTAAAGGCTTCATTTTGTAAATGTTTCATAGAAATGAACAATTACTAGAGGAAATCATAATTACAAGGAGACCTGAGGTTGCTGGAAGTGAAGCAAAGTCATCACAATCTCAGCAGTGCTATATGACCCATGTGGGTTTAGCACTTTAATTATGATTATAATAATAAAAATAAAAAATAATCACAATCTCAGAAATACAACACAGTCTGTGATGTTCACTATTATTATTATTATAGTAGTAGTAGTAGTATGAACACTGAACCCATATGGTCACTCAACACCTGGTGAATAGGTGGTAATCAGGTTTGATCTGAGGAAAACAAGTTTAGATCTATTTTAGTAGATCAAGAGCCATTTACCAGCATCAAGACATTTTCCCTGCAGAAGTCACCTCTTAATCCTTACTTAGTGAGACTGATTAAATTCCCTCTTATGACTGGGTTTCACGTGATGCATTGAGCAATATCTTTGTTGTTGGGTGCTGGACACCCTCCATGTTGTCACTATACTTCCTCATGTATGATGACCAAACTGTCTACAACATCTTTAATAGCACATATCAATGAATTATAGTGAAAGTATAATGCTACTCTTGTCACTACAAAGGTAACTGTGGTATAAATATAACCCTATTTGTTTAAACAATACAGAAAATACAGTGGTGGGATGCGGCTGGTGTGTTGAAAGAAAATACAGTGAGCATAACACTACTCATGCAGCTACAATGGTAATTATAGTAAGTTTAACACTAGTGAAACTACAATGGTATAAAGGTTATTATAGTATGACACTACTGCTACTACACTAAGTAATTATAGAGAGTATAACTCCATGCCTACAATAACAGATAATTAGAGTGAGCATAACACTACTCCTGCAACTACATATGTTTCATGTTTTTATTGTATACAATATTGTATCACAAATCATAATACAGAATTCAGCATTTTTCTGGCAAGACAGACTGAATGATGATGTTACCTTTTTTTTTTTTTTTTAACAAAACTGACAAGTTGTTGAATGAGACCCATGTGCAACACTTGAGTATCACTCCTAATTCCTGTATACAGTAACCCATAAACAGCCTTCTCACTCACCAGATTTTGAGCGTTCAAACAAGGCAAGAGCAATGCCTAGTGCACACATGAGACCTCCACCTGCAAAGTCTGCCAGCAAATTGATTGGTGGAGTAGGAGGACCTTCTCTACGTCCCAGAAGTGATAGGAGACCTATGAATAGAAGGTATCATATCATCATCATCATCAACTAGGTAGTTTCCAAACTTGAAGCTGATAAATACATGAAGACTCTTCCCAAAGCACACTGATATCAACATTGCAACTTAGAACACTGTTGTCTTTTCACATTCTTGTTCTTCACCTAAGTAAGATTTCATCATGGATGATGGACAGGGGGCTGTTGTCCTGAGCAAGCTGCTAAAACACAAAATTACAATGCAGGTAAGGATTAATGTAAATAAGGCTTGTTTCTTAATGTGGCAGAGGTTTCGTCAAAAATCATTAAGGATGTCACTAGACCCTTTTTTTTCATGCTGGCTGTCTCCTACTGAGGCAGGGTGACCCAAAAAACGAAACACTTTCACCATCATTCACACATAATCATTGTCTTTGTAGAGGCACTCAGATATAACAGTTTAGATGTCACTCCATACAGCAAATATCCCAAACCTCTCCTTTATCTGCAGTAAATCTAACAGCCAACATGTACAAATTCCTTGAGGATGCAGTAAATTCTATGTAGGGAAGACAGCTCATGATCTCAAGACAATTCATACAACATAAATACAGTAGAACTCCCCATATCCTCAAGGGATACATTCAAGGATCGGCTGTGGATACCGAAACCGCGGATAGTAGCAAACCCTACATATAAGTCCTGTACATACCTATTATAAAGTTTAATTGATAAATTATGCACAAGAAGTGGAGAATTATCACTTTTTTATTGATGGGAAGCACTTCATGGCTTCTCTTAGGCTTTGAAGAACTGCCAGCTTCTCTACTCTTGTGCTTTGGGGCCATTATTATGCAAAATTAAGAGGCATTTTTGAGCCACAGTAAACTGTGGATAACTGAAACCACAGATACCGAATTAGTGGATACGGGGGTTCTACTGTATACATGTACAACATACAAAACACTGTGTGATGCAAGAATATGGCTACACACTTTACGGCCTGGGACAGAGCCTAACTCATACTACATGAAGATAAGCTTAGGAGAATGTATGGAAGCTGCATTCACTAAGCCATACAATACTAAAAAGCAAGACCAAGTTGCATTCACATGCACAAAACCTCTCCCACAAATTCTCTTATAACACCTGCTACCACATGACCTTGACCATTCAGCAGTCCAAGTCACATAAACAAAGTCCTAACCTCATTCTTCAATTGACCAGACAGGAGATTACAAGTTTTCTGTACAACTTTATAAAATTCCCTCAAATGAAACATCATTACAACAGAGACCTACAGAGGTTTGTGCCTTTCTTATGCTGCAAGAACTATTAAAGAATTTTGTTGATTTTTTTCACCACACTGATGTCTCCCACCGAGGCAGGGTGACCCAAAAAAAGAAATACTTTCACCATCATTCACACTATCACTGTTTTTGCAGAGGCACATGGATACAACAGTTTAGATGTCACTCTAAACAGCAAATGTTCCAAACCCCTCCTTTAAAGTGCAGGCATTGTACTTCCCACCTCTAGGACTCAAGTCCAGCTAATCGGTTTCCCTGAATCTATTCACAAAATATTATCCTGCTCACACTCCAACAGCTCATCAAGTCCCAAAAACCATTCGTCTCCACTCCCATTTAATATGCTCACACATGCCTGTCGTATGTCCAAGTCCCTTGCACACAAAACCTTTTTTACCCCCCTCTCTCCCTCCACTACATATTTAAGTTTTAAGTAATGAAACAAAGTAAACAATATGGTGTAAATACCTGATAGTGCTACATAATTTATGTCATGTCCAGCCATGTCAGCAGAGGGCCCAGACTGTCCAAAACCAGTCAGTCGGGCATAAATAAGTCTGGGATTAGTCTTCATAAGTTCTTCTGGCCCTAAACCCATCTTTTCCATTACTCCTGCAATTATTAAATTTTATTTAATATTTATTACACCAGATAGTGGTTGTATATAGTATTAACCAGATACAATATCAACTTTGTGACTAAATGATTTTTAAGGGAATTATCCAATTTCCATATCCTCAATATTTTATTAATACATAAAAGAAAATTGTCAAATTGTCTTAAAAAAAAGGTATCAAAGTTATGTTTCATTCTATACTTAGGGGTAGCTTCAGCATTGCTCAATATGAGGTGCTTAGGGGTGGCAATCTGGCTGGAAGAGGTGTTAGCAAACATGTCTTGAAGCTGCATATTTATTATTTTATTTCAGGAAGCATTGTGAGGGCTGCTGCAGATTATGTAATAGTTTCAGCCTCCTTGTCATCCCTTAGTGACAGCTAAAAAAAATAATACCAAAAGCAAAATGTGAAATCATGAATAACAAAAAAAGACACAATACCACGATTAGAACGATACACAAATAACCCGCACATAGAAGAGAGGAGCTTACGACGACATTTCGGTCCAACTTGGACCATTTACAAAGTCACACTAATCAGAAGTGGAGCAGGACGGCTATATATAGGCAGGAAGAAGAGGAGGAGGAGGAGGAGGAGGAGGAGGAGGAGGAGGAGGAGGAGGAGGAGGTGGTGGTGGTGGTGGTGGTGGCGCCGGTGGCGGTGGGGGCGGCGGCAGCGGTAGTAGTGGTAGTAGTAGTGGTAGTAGTGGCAGTAGTAGTAGTAGTAGTGGGGAACTAAGGAGGAGGAGCCAGTCAAATATAAAGAAAGGGGAGCACTGCAAGGGAGCTAGGTGCCCACAGAGGGAGAGCAAGTGCACAGAGGTGGGGGGGAGGGGAAGTGATGAAATAAATAATGAAGGAACAGAAACACGCGACAGAAGAAAGACAAAAAAAAAATAAAAAAAAAAAAAGGAAAGAGGAAAGGGGAAGAGGGAGAAGAAGAAAAAATGAGGAATCAGGTTAAGTCATGGGTGTTCTGAAGTTTGGAGCATTTTACAATGTAGTGGGAGAGGAAGGTATCTACAGAGACGAAGCCAGGGCTAAGGTTCATACAAGGAAAGTTGTGTATTAGAGAGGATTCAACCAGACAGTGACTGTTAAAGTTGGAAGTAGGGAAGACAGTTTTAGCAGACCAGTCTATAGGATGGCTGTGATCTCTGACGTGACAGAAAAGAGCATTGTTAGTGCTGGCAAGCCTAACACTATTTTTGTGCTCCCTAAGTCTGTCAGAAAGAGATCGGCCAGTTTCTCCAAAGTATTGAAGAGGACAGGAGGAGCCGATCTCTTTCTGACAGACTTAGGGAGCACAAAAATAGTGTTAGGCTTGCCGACACTAACAATGCTCTTTTCTGTCACGTCAGAGATCACAGCCATCCTATAGACTGGTCTTCTGCTAAAACTGTCTTCCCTACTTCCAACTTTAACAGTTGCCATCTGGTTGAATCCTCTCTAATACACAACTTTCCTTGTATGAATCTTAGTCCTGGCTTCGTCTCTGTAGATGCCTTCCTCTCCCACTACATTGTAAAATGCTCCAAACTTCAGAACACCCGTGACTTAACCTGATTCCTCATTTTTTCTTCTTCTCCCTCTACCCCCTTTCCTCTTTCCTTTTTTTTTTTTTGTTTGTCTTTCTTCTGTCGCGTGTTTCTGTTCCTTCATTATTTATTTCATCACTTCCCCTCCCCCCCACCTCTGTGCACTTGCTCTCCCTCTGTGGGCACCTAGCTCCCTTGCAGTGCTCCCCTTTCTTTATATTTGACTGGCTCCTCCTCCTTAGTGCCCCACTACTACCACTACTACTACTACTACTACCACCACTACTACTACTACTGCTACTACCACCACTACTACTACTATTACTACTACTACCACCACCACCACTACCTCTTCCTGCCTATATATAGCCGTCCTGCTCCACTTCTGATTAGTGTGACTTTGTAAATGGTCCAAGTCGGACCGAAACGTCGTCGTAAGCTCCTCTCTTCTATGTGCGGGTTATTTGTGAAATCATGAAGCTTTCATGTTTCCAAATTCAAGAGTGGGAAAAATTTAAAAGCATCATAAGCTGCACAACTCTGCCATACTTTTCCATTACAAATGGGATTCCTAAACCATCAGGAATAAGCAAATACCCCTAGCTAAACATCTTAAATTTTTAACCCCTTTTGTTAATATCAAAGAAAACACTTCAGACGAGAAACTGGCTTTGGATGTTCACAATCCATGCCAGGCACTGACAGTGAGCTACATCCAGCTGCCTATCTTTGCTGTCAGCAAGGAGAGCATTCCACATAAATTTATCAAACATCTTCCATCAAATCCTAAACTCAGCTGGACTTAAACCATAGATCTGTGACCAACACAGACATCAGTAATGTAGATCTGTGTAGGACACTGTGAAAGGGTTAAATGGATTGTGTATGATTAAGAAATAATGTACATATTACACAATTTAATGCTGGAAGCAAAGGGCTAGTAACCCCTTCTCCTGTATACATTACTAAATTTAAAAGGAGAAACTTTAGTTTTTTCTTTTGGGCCACCCCACCTCGGTGGGATACGGCTGGTACGTTGAAAGAAGAAGAAGATTACACAATTTTAGCAAGATTAGGTCAGACTGCCAAATTAGTTTAGGATGGAAAAGAAATATTACATACTATATTAATGCAAGTAAATACTGTGGTCCCTCGATAGTCGTCCTTTTCGGAAATTGTCGCGTTATTTTCATCCAAACATTGGCTCGCAAATGGTCGGTTGACTCGCTAATCATCATTCGTCCTGGATGCGTACTCATGGCTCTGAGCCGCCTCGGCCTCCCTTCCCAGCCAGTGTGCCATTGTTTACTTGTTCATACGAAATATTTCATAATATTCCATTCATTTTAGTGCTTGCAAGTGGTAAATGTTGCAGTTTAAAAACTGTAGTGTAAAGCACCCTTCTGGCAAGACAGTGATGGAGTGAATGATGGTGAAAGTTTTTCTTTTTCGGGCCACCCTGCCTTGGTGGGAATCGGCCGGTGTGATAATAAAAAAAAAAAAAAATAAGTGGTAAATAAGGTACCATGGCTCCAAAGAAAGCTCCTAGTGCCAAGCCTTTGGTAAAGAAGGTGAGAAATACGATTGAATTTAAGAAAAACATCAGTGTACAATATGAAAGTGGCGTACATGTGGCTGAACTGGCCAGGATGTATAACAAATCCCGTATAACCATATCTTCCATCATGGCCAAGAAAAAGGAAATCAAGGAAGCTGTTGTTGCAAAGGGGGTAAATATGCTGACAAAAATGAGATCACCAGTACTCGAAGATGTTGAGAAGTTATTATTGGTGTGGATAAACGAGAAACAATTAGCAGGAGATAGTCTTATGATGTCGATTATTTGTGAAAAGGCTAGGCAGTTGCATGATGATCTGGTAAAGAAATTGCCTGCAATGAGTACTGATATTTGTGAATTTAAGGCCAGCAAAGGTTGGTTTGAGAGATTTAAGAACCGTACTGGCATACACAGTGTGATAAGGCATAGTGAGGCTGCCAGTTCGGACAAAATTGCAGCTACAAAATTCGTAAGTGAATTCAAGGAGTACATAGAGGCTGAAGGACTGAAACCTGAACAAATGTTCAATTGTGACGAAACAGGCCTCTTTTGGAAGAAAATGCCAAAGAGGACCTACATTACTCAGGAGGAAAAGGCACTGCCAGGACACAAGCCTATGAAGGACAGACTGACGCTCATGTTCTGTGCTAATGCTAGTGGGGATTTCAAAGTGAAGCCATTACTAGTGTACCATTCTGAAAATCCCAGAGTGTTCAGGAAAAACAATGTTATGAAGAGTAAATTGTGTGTGTTTTGGAGATCTAATAATAAGGCATGGGTCACGAGGGAAATTTTCGTCGAGTGGTTCAATGAAGTGTTTGGCCTTAGTGTGAAGAATTACCTCCTGGAAAAGAAATTGGATCTCAAGTGCCTCCTAGTAATGGACAATGTGCCTGCTCATCCTCCAAACTTGGATGACCTAATTCTGCAAAAGTTTGAGTTCATCACAGTAAAGTTCTTGCCCCCAAATACCACTCCTCTCCTCCAGCCCATGGACCAGCAGGTCTTTTCAAACTTTAAAAAGCTCTACACCAATGCTTCAAAGGTGCTTTAATGTGACCTCAGACACTCACTTGGCCCCAAGAGATTTTTGGAAAGAACACTTCAGTAAGGCTTGAGAGGAAGTGACTACCAGGACTTTGAACTCTGCTTGGAGAAAATTGTGGCCAGATTGTGTCGACAAGAGGGATTTTGAAGGGTTTGTGGCCGACCCTGATGAGCCTATGTCAGTTGTAAACTCTATTGTGGCACTGGGGAGTTCCATGGGGTTGGATGTAAGTTCGGAGGATGTGGAAGAGTTGGTGGAGGACCACAACAAAGAGCTAACCACTAAGGAGCTGCAAGAGCTTCAGCAGGAACAGCAACAGATCGAAGCTCAGAATCTTGCTGCAGAGGAGGTGGAAGAGAGATGGAAGAAGGTGCCTTCTTCAGAAATTAAGGAGATTTTTGAAATGTAGGGTAGGATGGAAAGATTTATGGAGAAACATCACTCTGAGAAGGATGTTACAAGCCATATCTGCAACTTGTACAGTGACAGAATCTTGGCCCATTTTAGGGAAGTTTTAAAGAGACGCCAGAAACAGAGCTCTCTGGACACTTTTTTGCGAGACAGGACTCCAGTGACTCTCAAGCTGGTCCTAGTGGCATTAAGAAACAGAGAAGAATGTAAAAAAAAAGGAGTAGATCTATGTTCGGAGCGCTATGCGAATGAAAGTAGGTCTACGTTTGGACAGTTTAAGGGTTAAGATAGTTCAGTTTGTCTGGCTGACTTAATAGGGAAGACATAACCACTATTACTCAGTACTATCTTTTTTTCTTCAAAATCTATGCAATTGCTAATATTACTGGTATTTTTTTGCTAAGTACAGTATTTTATTATTAAAGTACGTACTACAGGTCAGCCATCACTAATCCGGCAATCAGTTATCCAGTTCCACCAGTAATCCAGCACTAATTTCGGCTAGCATAATTTCAAATTTCATTATACTGACTCAAATCATTATACTTACTCAAATTTCATCATTATATTGACTCAGAAATTGTGCAGATGGTTGTAAATCCACAGCAGCAAGCCAGTGGTGGAGAAAGCAGTGATGAAAATGAGGACGATGTAGCAGTCTCTCTATTGATAGGTTAATTAAGTGTATTCTAACCTAACCACTCTGAAATCCGGCAAACTCACTAATCTGGCACACTATAGGTCCCAATGATGCCAGATTAGTGATGGCTGACCTGTACTATTTTTTAACCTTGTAAAACTGTGCACATATTAACTTCAATCATGCTTGAAATACTGAACAAATTAATGCTTATCATTCAGCACCATAACTAAGCTGCAATTATGCCCACCTTTGTAAAGTACATTTTATACTGATGTATTGTCTTTTAATAACTTATCATCACAACAGCTGATTAACAGTCAATGGGCAATATCCTAGTGTCCATGCTCGTACCCCATAAATACAATTATGTGTTTTCTTCTTGGGCCTCTCTCCTTAGTATAGTACATCATTATTATTATTATTATTATTATTATTATCAAAACCAAGTGCTAAACCACCAGGGTCATACAGACCTTGACATACAGTACAGTATTTACAACCAAAATTCTTGAATAATTTACCTCTTCTGTACGGCTCAATGAGTACATCAGCATTAGTACAAATTCTTTTTACAATGTTTCTTCCCTCTGGCTTCTTCACATCTAAAACAATAGAGTGTTTTCCACGGCCTAAACGGTCAATATCTGGTGTTCTTGGCTGTAAAATAAAAATTTTTATTTTTAATTTCCAGATTACACCAATTTACAGTATTTAGGGAAACCATATATAAATGCAATTCTTAACCACTGCAAAATGAATAGTTTGACAGCATCAGTGAGAGATTACCTGTTTAAAAGAAAAATGCAAGCAGTGATATAATTTCACATTATATTAACACATCAACCTCCCACCAAGGCAGGGTGGCCCAAAAAAGAAAAACTTTCATCATCATTCACTCCATCACTGTCTTGCCAGAGGCACGCTTACACTACAGTTATAAAACTGCAACACTGACACCTCTCCTTCAGAGTGCAGACACTGTACTTCCCATCTCCAGGATTCAAGTCCAGCCTACTGGTTTCCCTGAATCCCTTCATAAATGTTACCTTGCTCACAGTCCTACAGCACAACAAGTCCTAAAAACCATTTGTCTCCATTCGCTCCCAACTAACGCACTCATGCATGCTTGCTGGAAGTCAAGCCCCTCACACACAAAACTGCCTTTACCCCCTCCCTCCAACCTTTCCTAGGCCAACCCCTACCCAGCCTTCCCTCCACTACAGGTTTATACACTCTCAAAGTCATTCTATTTTGTTCCTTCCTCTCTACATGTCTGAACCACCTGTCGGTACCTGACCAGCCGAGCTGTGGCTCATACGTTGGTTTGCGTGCAGCCAGCAGTAACAGCCTGGTTGATCAGGCTCTGATCCACCAGGAGGCCTGGTCACAGACCGGGCCGCGGGGGCGTTGACCCCCGGAACTCTCTCCAGGTAAACTCCAGGTAAACAACCCCTCCTCAGCCCTCTGGATAATAGTTTTGGTAATCCCACACCTCCTCCTAATTTCCTAACTACGAATTCTCTGCATTATATTCACACCACACATTGCCCTCGGACATGACATCTCCACTGCCTCCAGCCTTCTCCTTGTCGCAACATTCACCACCCATGTTTCACACCCATATAAGAGTATTGGTATAACTATACTCTCATAAATTCTCCTCTTTGCTTCCATGGACAAAGTTCTTTTTCACCACAGACTCCTAAGTGCACTACTCACCTTTTTCCCCTTCATCTTTCATAGACCGATCTGCTGACACATTTACTCCTAAATATCTGCATATATTCACCTCCTCCATAGTCTCTCCCTCCAATCTGATATGCAATCTTTCGTCAACTAATTTTTTTTATCCTCATCACCTTAATCTTTCCTATACATATTCACTTTTAATTTTCTTCTTTTACATACCCTACCAAACCCCTCCACCAACCTCTGCAACTTCTCTTCAGAATCTCCCAAAAGCACAGTGTCATCAGCAAAGAGCAACTGTGACAACTCCCACTTTGTGTTAGATTCTTTATCTTTTAACCCCACACCTCTTTCCCACAACCGAGCATTCACTTCTCTTTCAACTCCATCTATAAATATATTGAACAACCATGGTGACATCACACAGCTTTGTCTAAGGCTTACTTTTTTTTTTTTTCAACAAGTCGGCCGTCTCCCACCGAGGCAGGGTGACCCAAAAAAGAAAGAAAATCCCCAAAAAGAAAATGCTTTCATCATCATTCAACACTTTCACCACACTCACACATTATCACTGTTTTTGCAGAGGTGCTCAGAATACAGTGGACCCCCACATAACGATATTAATCCGTTCCTGAGAGCTCACTGTTATGAGAAATTATCGTTATGCGAATGAATTTTCCCCATAAGAAATAATGGAAATCAAATTAATCTGTGCAAGACACCCAAAAGTATGAAAAAAAAAATTTTACCACATGAAATACTGTATACATTTTCCTACACACAAAGAGAAGGATACATGCACAATAGTATAGTACATGCACAATATATATTGTGCATGTACTACTCTACTAAATGACGAATAAATGACACTTACCTTTATTGAAGATGCAGCAATGACTGATGAGACACTGTGTCCTGGGAGTGCCTTTTCCTCCTGAGTACTGTAGGTTCTGTTTGGCATTTTCTTCCAGAACAGGCCTTATCACACTGTGTATGCCACTACGATTCTTAAATCTCTCAAACCAACCTTTGCTGGCTTTAAATTCACCAATATGAGCACTAGTTCCAGGCATTTTTCCCTGTTCACCTGGGTGTTAGTCGACTGGTGTGGGTTGCATCCTGGGAGACAAGATTAAGGACCCCAATGGAAATAAGTTAGACAGTCTTCGATGACACTGACTTTTTTGGGTTATCCTGGGTGGCTAACCCTCTGGGGTTAATTGTTTCTTGGTATTCTCAATAAGCCACACCAACAATGGTGCTACAGCAGCAGCAGCTGACAGTGCTACAGCAGCAGCTGACAGTGCTACAGCAGCAGCAGACGGTGCTACAGCAGCAGCAGACGGTGCTACAGCAGCAGCAGACGGTACTACAGCAGCAGCAGCAGCTGACGGTGGTACAGCAGCAGCAGCAGCTGACGGTGGTACAGCAGCAGCAGCAGCTGACAGTGCTACAGCAGCAGCAGCAGCAGCTGACAGTGCAGCAGCAGCAGCAGCAGCTGACAGTGCAGCAGCAGCAGCAGCAGCAGCAGCTGACAGTGCTACAGCAGCAGCTGACAGTGCTACAGCAGCAGCAGCAGCAGCAGCTGACAGTGCTACAGCAGCAGCAGCAGCAGCAGCTGACAGTGCTACAGCAGCAGCTGACAGTGCTACAGCAGCAGCAGACGGTGCTACAGCAGCAGCAGACGGTACTACAACAGCAGCAGCAGCTGACGGTGGTACAGCAGCAGCAGCAGCTGATGGTGCTACAGCAGCAGCAGCAGCTGACAGTGCTACAGCAGCAGCAGCAGCAGCAGTTGACCATGGTACCACAGTATTTCGATAATATTTCTCACCCTTTTTAACACAGGGTTGGCACTAGAAGCTTTCTTGGGGCCCATGGTCACTTATTTTGCAGATAAAATCACCAAAAACACTGTAATAATATGAAATGTTCCGATTGTATGCTTGGATGTTACCGCGGAGGCTGGTTTGTAAACAATGCCACCGGCGAAACATGTGAGGCTGGCTCAGGCCGCACATTAGACGCGTCTTGGACGAATAGCGTCGAGCGGGATTTTAGCGGTATGCGAGGCAAAATCTTAGCGATAAAGTGTATCGGTATGCGGATTTAACGTTATGTGATGCCAACGGTATGCGGAGGTCCACTGTACAACAGTTTAGAAGCATATACGTATAAAGATACACAACATATCCCTCCAAACTGCCAATATCCCAAACTCCTCCTTTAAAGTGCAGGCATTGTACTTCCCATTTCCAGGACTCAAGTCCGACTATATGAAAATAACCGGTTTCCCTGAATCCCTTCACTAAATATTACCCTGCTCACACTCCAACAGATCATTGGGTCCCAAGTATCATTCGTCTCCATTCACTCCTATCTAACACGCTCACGCACGCTTGCTGGAAGTCCAAGCCCCTCGCCCACAAAACTTCCTTTACCCCCTCTCTCCAACCCTTTCGAGGACGACCCCTACCCCTCCTTCCTTCCCCTATAAATTTATATGCTTTCCATGTCATTCTACTTTGATCCATTCTCTCTAAATGACCAAACCACCTCAACAACCCCTCTTCTGCCCTCTGACTAATGATTTATTAACTCCACACCTTCTCCTAAATTCCACACTCCGAATTTTCTGCATAATATTTACACCACACATTGCCCTTAGACAGGGCATCTCCACTGCCTCCAACCGTCTCCTTGCTGCTGCATTTACCACCCAAGCTTCACATCCATATAAGAGTGTTGGTACCACTATACTTCTATACATTCCCTTCTTTGCCTCCATAGATAGCATTTTTTGACTCCACATATACCTCAACACACCACTCACCTTTTTTCCCTCATCAATTCTATGATTAACCTCATCCTTCATAAATCCATCCGCCGACACGTCAACTCCCAAGTATCTGAAAACATTCACTTCTTCCATACTCCTCCTCCCCAATTTGATATCCAATTTTTCTTTATCTAAATCATTTGATACCCTCATCACCTTACTCTTTTCTATGTTCACTTTCAACTTTCTACCTTTACACACATTCCCAAACTCATCCACTAACCTTTGCTGCAATTTTTCTTTAGAATCTCCCATAAGCACAGTATCATCAGCAAAAAGTAACTGTGTCAATTCCCATTTTGAATTTGATTGCCCATAATTTAATCCCACCTCTCTCCCAAACACCCTAGCATTTACTTCTTTTACAACCCCATCTATAAATATATTAAACAACCATGGTGACATTACACATCCCTGTCTAAGACCTACTTTTATTGGGAAGTATTCTCCCTCTCTTCTACACACCCTAACCTGAGCCTCGCTATCCTCATAAAAACTCTTAACAGCATTTAGTAACTTACCACTTATTCCATATACTTGCAACATCTGCCACATTGCTCCTCTATCCACTCTATCATATGCCTTTTCTAAATCCATAAATGCAATAAAAACTTCCCTACCTTTATCTAAATACTGTTCACATATATACTTCAATGTAAACACTTGATCTACACATCCCCTACCCACTCTGAAGCCTCCCTGCTCATCCGCAATCCTACATTCTGTCTTACCTCTAATTCTTTCAATTATAACCCTACCGTATACTTTTCCTGGTATACTCAGTAAACTTATTCCTGTATAATTTTTATAATCTCTTTTGTCCCTTTTCCCTTTATATAAAGGGATTATACATGCTTTCTGCCAATCCCTAGGTACCTTCCCCTCTTTCATACACTTATTAAACGAAAGTACCAACCACTCCAACACTATATCCCCCCCTGCTTTTAACATTTCTGTCGTGATCCCATCAGTTCCAGCTGCTTTACCCCCTTTCATTCTATGTAATGTCTCACGTACCTCCACCACACTTACATTCTGCTCTTCTTCACTCCTAAAAGATGGTATACCTCCCTGGCCAGTGCATGAAATTACCGCCTCCCTTTCTTCCTCAACATTTAAAATTCCTCAA